TGGTGAATGGGTCCCAAAGAAGCCATCCCTTGCTGTTTTGAGCCATGCCCAAGTGCACGGCCCACACCGCCTTGGCACCAAGCTTGTTGTGCCGAAGATGCTTAGGCACGAGCGCCATGCACATGCACCCGAACACCCGAAGCATATCCACCTTTGGCTTCCTTCCTAGCCACTCCACATAGGGCACCCATTTGTCTGCTCCCACATGAGTCAAAACTCTGTTCTTGGCCACACACGCGCTTCGCACCGCATCAGGCCAGAAATAGTCGGGTAGCCTGGCTTCAATGAGCAACCCGCGTGCCGCCTCCGTGATTGTGCGGTTCGCTCGCTCGGCGATGCCGTTCATTGCAGGGGAGTATGGCATGGTGAGGGAGTGCCGAATACCATTCTTCTTCAGCCACAACCCAAACTCCTTGCTCAGGAACTCTCCCCCTCGATCGGTGCGGATTGACTTGACTAGACGGTCTTGTTGCCGCTCCACCATCGGGAACCAATCCGTCTTCAACGTTTCAGCCACGTCGCTCTTCTTGGCCAGCACGTACACCCAAGTCATGCGGGTGTAGACGTCGACAATGGTGAGAAAATACTCAGCTCCAGCAGCTCCAAGCTTCAGGGGGCCCACCACGTCCATCACCACCTCATCAAGCGGTGCCTTTGCCGTTGCCTCCGAACTAGGGAACGGAAACCGGGTGAACTTGGCTTGAATGCACGTCGGGCAGCCAAGCACCTCATCGGGCTCCCCCTTCACACGTATGCCAGCAACCATCTCATTCTTCACTAGCTGCTGCAAGATGGGCAGGGCCACATGCCCCATGCGTCGATGCAAGGTGAGCCAATCACACTCCCCCGTAGCCGAAGTTGGATTGGAGAATGCCGCGCTCGCAATAGCGCCCCACATACTCTCTCCGTAGTCCTCCTCCGCTGCTGCCTCTGGGTTCTCCTCACCCTTTTGCTGCTCCTTAGTTGCTGCACCACTCCCCTTAGGTTCACTGAACTTGCTGGTCCCTCCAGGTTTGCTCTTCTTGAGCTCATTCTCCTTAGCGCGACCGTTCGCGCCATCGTCGCTACCGACCGCTCCATCCTTGGTGCTGATGCTTGCTGCCACTTGCCTCTCCTTAGGCATAGGGACCACTGGGATCTGCCACATCTCGTTGTAGACATCCCTATCCTCATGAAGGTCCCAAAGAATTCGATCGCCAAGCCTTGCGGTGTAGGTCTTGGCTCCCTTCGAGTTCGTGTCCATGCCGGCCTTTGCCAACCGCCGCACGGAAATCAGGTTTGCAGCAAGGCTGGGCAACCAAAGCACGTTCTTGAGGCCCACCATCTTCCCATCAGCACCCTTGAACATGGCCTTGCCCATGCCTTTCACCTCTGCTCGCTGCCCCAAAGCCGATGTGACATGCTTCACCGGTGACGGCTCGAGTTCGGTGAGCAAGTCCGGGCGAGGTGTCATGCTATAGGTAGCGCCACTATCAATCACCCAATAGTCCAGGGGGTGTAGGGTCACCTTTCCCACATCTGCTGGCTCCTCAAAGCCTTCATCCTTCTCTGGACCAGCCGGTACTTGCGTCGACACGAAGTAGAATAGACCCGGGTATCGATCGTCGCTCGGGTCCTTGTCGTTGTCTCCGCTCTTCATGTTTGCAGCTCCGCCACCGCGACCGCCACGGCCTCCACGGCCTCGTCCTCTCCCTCCTCCTGCTCCTCTACCCTCTTGGCCTTGAGCAGGGGTCCAACCATCAGGGAGTTTGTAGCAGTCGCGCCACATGTGTCCGCTCTTGTGGCAATAGTGACACTCGCCGTCGAATCGGCCGCGACCGCGTCCGTAGCTCTTGTCGTCGCTGCCGTAACCGCCACTCCTGCGGCCTCCGCCGAAGTTGCTGCCACCAAACCTTCCTCCCCCTCGTCCTCTGCCTCTTCCTCGACCATATCCACGGCCGATGCTCGCTGCCCCAGCGCCATCCGCACTCGCCAACTCACGGCGGCGGAAATCCTCTTGAAGGATAGCTCGCTTCACGTCTTCAAGCGAGAGGCGGGGCAAGTCGCGATTAAGGTTGATGATGAGCGAGGACCATGACTCTGGGAGTAAGGCCAGCAACTTGGTCTTCTTTTGGAGCTCACTGTAGTTCAAATCAGCTCCCTCAAGCCGCGTCCAAAGTCGAAGAATTTCTGCACCCCTTCTTCAACCGCTTCGTCTTCTTCAATTCGTAGTGCCGCCATTTGCCGTTCCAACACCACCGCTACCGCCGCTGTTGCAGGAGCATGTACACCCTTGAGAGCAGCCCATGCCTTTGGTCCTTTCTCTGGTTCACGCTGGAATGGCTTGATGTGACGGATCTGACTGCTCCCAAACGCTTGCCCAAGTAAGAGATAGCCTTGTGCGCTCTTCCGCACCCACGGGCTCTTCTCCGGGTCGTTCTCGGGGCGCTTCTCCGTTCCTTCCATCACCTCCAGCAGGTCATAGTGGTCAAAGATGTTCTCCATCTTGAAGGACCATTCAGCAAAGTTGTCACCGTTGAACTTGTCAAGCCCAAACACCCTAGGCTCATCCCTAGGTGGGCCAAGACTTGGTTGCATGGGCGCCATGGCTGAGTCAAGGGGTTGGCCTTGAGCTTGAGCTTCTCCACTGCCACCAGCACCTCTGCCACCCCTTTCCTCAGGTCCAGACATTGTCGAAACTGCTCCAAGGGGCTCTGATACCACTTGTTATAGTCACAATAGGCTTGAATGTGCCTAAAACGAAAGATAGAGAGCACAGACGGATTTCTGCACAGCGGCTTCAAACGTTGATAGCGTTATGCTCACAGCTGCAAATGACTTGATTCAAATTGGATCTGGAGCGTCTTCATGTCGTCTACAATTAGCAATTTAGATTGCACGATTTGATAAAGAATTGACGATACAGCGTCGGTTTGAACGAACGGTACTATGGCAGCCACTATAGTCTTAGAACACAAGATAGGAAGAGTTACGAGTTGGGAATGACTCCCAGCTCCTACAAACCCCAAGAGCCGAGGTACAGTGATGTGGAACAGTGCCACACTGTCCCCAACCACGAAGGGTCTCGAAACTACCCTTCACTAGGGCCTACACCAAGTGAAATGTTACACTACACAAAGTAATGTAACTATCTTCAATATCTTGAGGTGTACCCTTTTGGCAAGCTTCGAAATCACTTGAGGCTTGACACCAAGGCTCGGGCTCTTCATCACAAACTCATCCTTGAGTTCTTCATGGGTCTGCTGCACACACCTGCGACACGCCGAACGTTCGACACAGGACAAAATAGAAACCGCGCACGACAAAATAGAAACCGCGCGCGAGACACAAACGACCGCGTAACACGCGTCTAGCGATAACTCGCTATTGACTCGACACACACACTCGACATCATGACTCAACATTCACACACAATTATAAGCATGAAATATATATTATCCCATGCCCTCATACCATTCCATACACACACACATTCACGCACACGGACAACAAGCCGAGTGCAAATCGTAGGGTTGCACCAACAGTACCGGTCCAAGAGACGAGGCGAATGAGACTGAATCCACTCTCCGGGCACACACAGAGAATGTTCTCACTCACAGGCTACGGCACAGGGGACTGGCTGACGGCGGTACTGGTAGCTTCCTCACGGCGCATCGGCCCGGTACACTTCAGCAACGCCGTGCGCTTCCGGTTGGGCCTCCCTTTCTCTACTCCGAAGAATTGTGATTGTGCAGAACACATCGCCATCACAGACCCGCGCCTCCCCAACCACCTCTTCCGCTGCGGCACGGGGAAGCACCGTACGAAACTCATAACGAACTCCGCGACGCATGCATCAGCATGGCGCAAGACGCGGGGTTCATAGTACACAGGGAAACAAACGTCTACTGCCCCATAGAGGAGCAGACAGCAGATTTTACCATGACGGACAGAAGCAGTGGTGCGGTTTGGGTGTGTGATGTGACGGTCACAGACCCTATTAGTACCAGGGACCCGGAGGCACGGAAAGGCAGGGGATGGGCAGCCCGGGAGCAGGCAGAAAAGAAGATCAAGCACTATGAAAACCTGCCAGAGACAGTGGGCTTCTTCCCTCTCGCGGTGGAGACCTACGGCTGCCCATGTGCTGAGGTCCCTGTGTTCCTGAAACTCCTTGCAAACACGGCGGCTCGGCGATACTTCAACGCCGACTCCAAATCCTTTCATGCCGCGAAGTTCCTGCATCAGTTCAGGCAGAGGTGGTCAATTGCACTGCAGAGGGCCCAATCCGTGGGTCTCATGATCAAATTAGGAGAGGCGGCTGCTGCAGAGAACCCGCCCGTAGGGGGGATAGGGCAAGAATTATACCTGGGGGACTGTTTTACTGTCCTAGAGCCTCTTCTTGAGCTCTAGGTGACTTAGAGGGGTTGGATAGTCTAGGATACCTTGCATGTTAGCACCCAGCTATCTCTCATTGCATGTGTGTACCCTTCTGGCTTATCAATACACGGACCATTTAAGAGAGAGAGAGAGAGAGAGAGAGAGAGAGAGAGGCACCGAATGACTTAGCCTCTCAAGCCTCCCCTCAGCCTCCCTAGCCTCTCTAGCCCTAGTATAAAGGCCTTAGAGGCCTTGTTTTATCTTCATTATTCAGTTTTGGGTTCAGTTCTTCTCCCAAACCGAGCGGGAGAGAGAGGAGAGAGAGAGAGAGAGAGAGAGAGAGAGAGAGAGAGAGAGAGAGAGAGAGAGAGAGAGAGAGAGAGTGAGAGAGAGGCACCAAATGACTTAGCCTCTCAAGCCTCCCCTCAGCCTCCCTAGCCTCTCTAGCCCTAGTATAAAGGCCTTAGAGGCCTTGTTTCATCTTCATTATTCAGTTTTGGGTTCAGTTCTTCTCCCAAACCGAGCGGCTCGCGACGGCAAGTGTCAACACACACAACCGGCTATAATGAAGGGCATACACGCAATTACGGGTTCATCTGCCTAAAGAGCACACGAAACAACAATGGAGCAGGAGGGGGAGGGCTCTAGAACTGATCAGCATCAAGAACAGCAAGGAGCCCAGTCAGAGAGCGGTGGAGCTCCCGCACCACCATCATGCTTGCGCCGATCACATCGGCTGCAGTCCCAGCGCGCAAAAAGCGCCTCAGGCCTCGTACAGCCGTCCCCAGCTGCCCGACGCCCGCAACTCCTCCCCTCGCGGGCGCAGCCAACACGGGCGCCAGGAGCTCCGCGAGCCGATCCGCGGCGTCAAGACACTCGTCCCGGGAACCGCCAACCAGAGTGTTCCCAAGGGAGAGACCCGCGTGACCGTGCATCTGGATTAGATGAACAGCCCGCAAACCCTTGGCCAGGCGCCACAGCTGCCCAAGGGTCGCCTCCGGAACCTCAGCCGCGCAGGAAGAACACGCAAACGTCTGGAACGACTGTGCACCAGCAGCACGAGCAGCAGAGTCACAGGGCAGAAGGGACGGATAAGGAGCAGGGGGAGCAGGAGGCTGAGGAGCAACCGTCGCTGGTGCAGTCACAGGAAGCACAACAGGAGGATGAGCGGCAGTTGCACGAGGGAGCTGCTGGTTCGCCTGCAGGGCCCTCTCCTCCCGCATCGCAGCTGTTACAACCCACTGCAAGTCCGCCATCGTCACCGGCCCATCAAACGCGCCGCCACGTCCGCGACCGTACCCTCCCCTCCAGCCCCCGCGCCCACCCCGTCGCGCGTGCCAGTTCCCGCCCGATGAGCGGCGCTGAGGAGACTCCTGCCGACGCCGCGAGGACTCCCGCTCATCGCGTGGGGCGGGCGAATGGGGTCGTGATGGGCGGCGATCAGGAGACTGCGGACGACATGGCTGCCCAGGCGTCGCCAACGGAGGCACTGCAGGCGCCAACTGAACAGCCTCGGCAGGCACCACCGCCGGGGCCGGGCCGCCAGTGGTGGCGGACACCGCCGCTAGCACCAAGTCGCCGCCAAGAGCGGCAGGGGCAGCGGCGTTCAAAGGGGCGGCAGGAACAGTGGCACAACAACCGCAGCAGGCGCCACTTGCTCAGGCTCCTGGCGAACGGGAGCTAGAGGAGCGACCACGGCAGCCGGAGGAGCCTCAGCAGACGGAGGATCTGGATGGGCTGCCGCAGGCTCAGCAGTTGGCGATGACGCGGCTTTTGGGGCAGGCGGCATTGGCGGCTTCGTCGCGGCGTTTGCCGATGCAGTCACCGGCGGTGACTTTTCGCGCACCACTGACGCAACGACAGCATGCCCTGGCGACAGCTCGAGCCCACCAGCAATCACCATCGCGAGAAGGAAGGCGACGGGGCACGGGACGACGAGGAGGGCACGGCGAAGGAGGAGGACCCGAAAACGCGTTTCAGGCGGCGGGGCGAATCGCTCTAACACTACTAGTCGCGAACGCGGACTTGGAGAACGCGCGGGAAGCAGCTGGCGGAGTAGCTTTAACTGGCCAAGATGAGACTAATGAGCAAGAGGAAAGGGCGGACCCCTCTTATAGGGAGGAGCAGGGGATACATCACGACAGCAGCGATGGCGAAGGAGGAGAAGAGGAGAGGGAGAGAGAAGGACGAGGGAACGAAGTGCCAAGGCGTCCTGGGGTAGCTGGGCAACGGAACGAGGGTGAACCGCAGGATGGCGATCGTACGGTTGGGAATCCAACCTTGCCGACCCAAGCAACATCGAGCCGCGCCCAGACAAATCGAGCCGCGCATCGCCAAACCAACGCGCCAACTCAGCCACACAACCCCCGATACTTCTCGCCAGACGAACTGGCAACACACCTCGACAGATTCGCACGTGTCGCAAATTGGGATGTCACGCCACTTTGCGACAGTCGCCAACTTCCGCTGTCACGCCGCCAAATCTGTGCCAGCTATTTTCGCTGGCCTTGCTGACCCCACTCCTGCACCTCTCGCGAAACCCAAACTCCGTCGCTGGGTGGCGCCTTCTGTTATTCCTCCCGCGTCTAACCCTTTGCCAACCTTCGCCGAAGCGCCCTGACTGTCTAAAAATAAAGGCTCGGCTTCGTCAGTTCCAGCGTGGCGAATGGGAGCAACTCTACATTGACGCCACCTAGGCTGTCAACACCCCCCCACCACCACGTCACCAACCTGACGAGACCGGGGTCATCAGCAGAGCAGAAGGTCTGGCAAAGCGCGGAAGTTTGCGACGGGCCATACTGGCCCTTGAGTCAATGCCAGTATGCACGCCCAGCCAACAGATTCTGACCGAGCTGTGCCGAAAACACCTGCCAGCTGACAGCGAGCCTCTGGCATGGCCAGCCAATGACAATCCGCCCAGCCTCACAATTTCACCTGCTGATTTCGCCAAGTTGCTGAGTCGCTGCGAGAATGGCGTGGGGGCAGGTCCGTCTGGCACCACTTTCGAGCATCTGCGCGACGCGGCAGTTACAAATGCATCTGTCTGCACCCATTTGCACGCCCTGATCAACACCCTGCTGGGGGGAAAATTGCCCCAGCCTGTAGCAGAATTACTCACGTCATCGCGCCTGGTAGCACTTGCCAAGCCTGAAGGCGGTACTCGCCCCATAGCAATTGGCGAGTGCCTCACTCTACTAGCAGCAAAGGCTGCTCTGACGGTCATGGGAGAAGCAGCACGGAGTTTCTTTCTGCCGCTGCAGTATGGGGTAGCCGTGCCGGGTGGAGCTGAAACGATCATACACATAGCGCTGGCGTTCACTGACGCACGGCCAGATTCACTGATCCTGCAAACGGACCTATCCAACGCATTTAACAGCATCTCACAACAAGCAATAGTAACCGCCCTACAGGACCCGGCCCTCTCGCCACTGCTCCCTCTAGTCAAGCTAACCTACGGGCAACCGTCGCTCCTTTACCTTGATGCAGGCTTTGAAAGCGCCCCACTAAGTAGTGCACGCGGGGTACGTCAAGGGGACCCCTTAGGCCCGCTCCTCTTTGCAGCCGGTATCCACCCTGCACTACGAGCAACAGCAGCAGCCCACCCCGACGTTTTGTGTCTCGCATACGCAGACGATGTCAGTTTCCTAGGTGACAGAGCGGAAATAGTAGCAGCTTTCAACCATTTCACGAGCCAGCTAGCCAACTTAGGTTTAGAGCATAACCCGGCTAAGTGCGCGGCGTGGAGTAAGTCCCAGATTACGGACGAAGGGGAGCTGCCGCCCGGGGTGCCTTTCAGTCAGAATGGCGTGCGACTGCTGGGAAGCTTCTTAGGCACCACGGAAGGAGGCGCCACATTCTTAACGGAGCAGCTTCAAACAATGGCAAAACCGCTACCACTACTCGAACGCACGAACCCACAGATAGCTTCTCTTCTACTGACACGATGCATTTCCCGCAGAGTAGCATACCTCACAAGGACCACCCCGCTCAGTCTCTTGCCACGTGACACATGGTCACAATGGGGTCGGGACCTGCTCGCCACCCTCTTAGCCTCGTGCGGAATATGCTATCCGACAAGCGTGGCGGAACAAACGCGCGTTTGGGAGCAGGCTTCATTACCGACGTCACTTGGCGGGGTTGGCCTCACGAACCCCACAGTGGAAGGCGTTTCAGGTTTCCTTTCCAGCTTCACACAAGCGTCACTGCTACTCAGCTCACTGCCGCTCGCTCAAGGGGACGCTCTGACCGCTGCTAAGGACCACATGCTTCTGCCAAGGGATACAGAAACAGCCCTACATGCGTGGCTAACAGAGTGCGAAGCGGCACTGCCTCAAGAAGCACGGGAAATCTTAGAGAAGGAGAGGTTAGACCCGGCGGGTATAAGGCTACAGCACGCCCTCTCAGTGCAGGTCCAGGGGGGAAGATACGCGAAGCAGGTCCTGGCGTCACGGCAGATGGCACCAAATCCGTTGTGTGGGCATACCCAACGCCTCATCTCGCTGACCGGCTATGCAGCAGGGGATTGGCTGCTGGCTATCCCAATCGAGTCAACACGGCGGATTGGACCCGAGCACTTCGCAAATGCAGTCCGCTTTTGGTTGGGCCTGCCTTTCGCAACACCGGCAAAGTGTGACTGCCCAAAACACATCAAGATCACCGACCCGCGTCTGCCTAACCACCTGTTTCGCTGCGGCACCGGAAAACACAGGATCAACACGCATAACGAGCTTCGGGATGCCTGCGTCAGCATGGCGCAGGATGCGGGCTTCATTTTTCACACGGAGTCCGCGGCCTACTGCCCAGTAGATGAACAGACGGCGGACCTAACAATGATGGACCGGAGCTCGGGGGCTGTCTATATCTGTGATGTAACCATCAGAGACCCGATTAGTACCAGAGATAAGAAGGCTGCCAAGGGGAGGGGATGGGCAGCACAGGAGCAGGCGGATAAAATGATTAAACACTATGCAAGCCGGCCTGACACGGTGGGCTTCTTCCCCCTTGCGGTTGAGACCTACGGGTGCCCGTGTGCGGAGGTGCCCGTGTTCCTGAAACTGGTGGCGGACTCTGCTGCTAGGCGTCATTTCAACACCGAACCTAACTCATTTCATGCAGCCAGATTCCTCCACCTTTTCAGGCAGAGGTGGTCCGTGGCGCTGCAGATGGCCCAGTCGGTGGGATTCCTCATGAAGACGTGTCAAGCAGCTATGGCAGAGCACCCACCAGTTGGGGGGACGCAGCATGAGCTCCACCTGGGAGATTGCCTCACCGTGATAGAGCCCCTGGTGGAGGTTTAGGGGAGAAGGACCGAGAGTGTTGGTTAGGATGCTTGGTAGTATGTTTTCTTAGTGTGCTTATAGGCTTGTCTATTTTCTCCTTACTTGCATGCTTGTACCTTGCTGCTATATCAATACAAGGACCATTAGAGAGAGAGAGAGAGAGAGAGAGAGAGAGAGAGAGAGAGAGAGAGAGAGAGAGAGAGAATCTGTGTGTGTGTGTGGGAGAGAGAGATGATATAATGATTGCGAATTGAGGTGTGACATCATGTTTAGCTTGAACAGATGCCCCACGCGCTCCGTCTCGCACGAATCCCTTGAATCCCGTTACTCCTCCCCATGCAGCGGAAGGTTCATACCGAAAATGCTCCAGCAGCAGATGTACACAAATACTACGAGTGCAGAGATTGCACAAGCGAGAACGAGGCAATGGAAAATTGCGGCCTTGGAGGAGCTGCAGAAGCGATAACCTTTGGAGATTAAGTAGGCGCTATGGGAGACGAGGACAGCAAGGCTACTCTTGCCATAACAGTCGAAGGTGGTTGTGGTTGAGGGAATGCTTCAATTGGAACGTTACCACATGAAGAAAGGTGAACTAAGGTGAACTAGGGTAAACTTTTGTGCATACACGAGATTTGTAGCCCCACACAAAAGTCGATAGCGAAAGAAAATCTGCTGTAGGCTGGATATGTACTGTAGCTTGCTGCCGCAACGCGGTCGAAATGTATTGCGGTGCGGGCCCTTGACGAATGGCCGCTAGATTGGAAATGCGATGGGTGTATTTCGCCAGCTGTCGGCTGGTTTGACGGATCCTTGGCCAGGCCCAGGCGGAACTATAAAGAATGTCGGTTGATCGGCTGATCTGGGGTAAGAAAATGTGCTTTTGAACGTGGTCGAGTGTCGAACTGGTGGTTTTTTTTTTTTTTTTTTTTTTTTTTTTTTTTTTTTTTTTTTTTTTGGAGTTGCGAAGCAACCTATTACGATCAATTTGGCTGGTTTATTTTCACATTTATATCTATTTAATGTAAAGTGTGAAAAGAAATGGAAGCACCAAATGATACCTACGTAATTTGTATGAGGTCTTATCTAGATCAATTATACTAACGTGGTGATAGTGTTTTCTTCTATAACTAGGTTGGTTCTGTGATTTAATATGTTTTTAATTTTCCACTAGATAATTTGTTTATAATATGAACAGATGAATATGGTGATTGGTGAATGTAGATGAATAGAATAATATTACATGAGATATGGTACATTGTGTAAGATATGATATGATAAAAAGAAAATACATGCCTTAAGTTCGACATGAATAATTATTGTTATTGAGAATGCATGATGCATATTCATAATGATGTAAATGCGTGAAAGCTAACAACAGAAAAATTATGATACCCCATCCCATGCCCAGCATGGGGGGGAACTAATAGCAAAATATTTGAATAATGAAAATTCATACAAAACAACACAATCTGTAAACTCTGAACAGATGGTCAACTCTATCAAATCCAGT